GTATGCAAAGTTTCATGATCTTATTTAAAGTTTTTTTTAAATAACAGCGGTTTATTGTTCAGTTTGGAGGTAACTTTCGATTTTTTTTCTATCGAGAAAATTTTACGGACTCGTGTTTTCGTCTAACATAGTCCTTAACATTAATCCTCAACTTTACCATATATTTATTTCAAAATTAATGCTGCAATACTTTCGGCATAACGGAGGATCTTGCTAAGCCATTTGAGGTTATATTTTCCCTTAAGTCAGTGCCCTTCACCATCTTCGACTGTATCACCACTTACCACCAGGTGGGGTAGTGGTGAAGTGCTAGCTTAAAATAGTAAAAAAAATCTGAAATTAACAAGTGAGGAATGTGAAGGAAGGGATTAACCGCTTTGCAGTATGAAATAGCGGCAGTGGGTTATCTTCCTTTGAGTTTCAAAGAAAAAATACCATTGTTATTTATTATGTATATATAATATCTGATATATAATAACTTTATTCCCATTGTGTTTAATTGTCTAATACGTGACATCAAAAAAATATCTAACCTAACCTATTTTTTATTACTCTACCCAAAAAATAACGGACTAGATCCATAAAGCCCTATTCAAATTAATTATTTTAAATAGTTTTTATCATTATTGCCAACTCATATTAGGCTAGATTTATTAGATTAGAACTTTAAAAACGAAAACATCTAATTGCCTCCTTGTCTGGCACAAGTCAAGTAGTAGTAGTCCATCAAATAATTTTTAGTCTTGTTCGCAATATTCTGTACGCGGTTCAAACCTCATTGTACGTCAATATGTGAGCAGTTTGACCTACTTAAGTTCTATATATGAAAAAATAGCTCATGCTCTTAGACAAATTGGGGTTTATGTGGCGTTCCAAACAAACAATTGTCTTAGGTAAAAGGAGTGAAAAACTCTCTTAGGTTAGGAGTGACGATCTGGTAAAACATGCAGGAATGGATGCTGGTAGCTTAAGACAGTGCTTTACAGATTTCTTGAGGCCTACGTTCGACAGTTGACTTGTGATAATATAATTGTGGGATATAATGATAAAATCATATTTCAGATAACATTTCGGAATTTCGATTCATACTGGGTGACGGAAACTAAAAAATTGTGTGGCAAACCAATATTGTATCAATGTATATCTCTGGCTGTTTTTGAAACTCGTTCAAGATACAGGCTAGGCTACGCTTTTTAGAATTCCCTTGCCCACAACGTTATCAGAAAATTATATTACATTTTTAATACACCTATCGTATTTTATATTGTTTCTAATTTATAACGTTAGCTTTACTATCTACATAATATACTCTAATTATACGGATAAAAACTTTTACAGATACTTAATTAGTGTAATAATAATATGTACATACAAATACAACATGTAATAAAACCCTGTGGTTCCCATTAAGTGCGTTAGCAACATCAGTGTTCAAACTGATAGAAATAACTTTACTGCAGAAAACTCGATCACAATTTTTTTTATTTTCAATAAATTTTTATTTGCAAATTGTATGTGGTTTAATTACCTCAGTACCTAAGAGTATTGTCAAAAACCCTACTTTACTAATGCGCGCATCAATTAGATGTAATGAAACTACATACAATTTGCAATTAAAAATTTAAGTAAATTTTATTAATTTTTACTGTCGTGTTTTCTGAAATAAAGTTATTTCTAAAGTTTGATTACTGATTCTGATGACGTACTAAACAAGGGTTTTTGTTACATGTTGTTTAATAAAATAATATTATATTTAATATATAATATATAAACAGTTACTTGTATCTACCTACCACCAAATAGAATTCAGCGTTTAGTCAGTGCAGTGTCTATTTCTTCTGATCAAGTCTCGATTAGAGGCGGAACACGTGTCGTATTTTCGACGGTTGCGTGTATTTTCTAATGTACCTAATAGTTAGTGCAGCTGGGCAAAATGGTGTTCGATTTAATGGTAAAGTTATTCTATTTCATGATGAAGGTTTCGCCTTGATTGTAGAAATGACGTGTACCGACAGGTGTGTTTGTGTGTGTAACTGCGATTTGTTTGGACTCGTGAACGTGACTGAGCGCTCCCGACACATGAGTAAAGAAATTACTCTGTGCTCCCGACATACTAGAAAGTTCAACCAAGCTCCTGAGGCCTACGCATACAAACACAATGTGTATGTACGCGGCTAATAACAACCAAAGTCAAATCTTCGTCATCAAATAGAATAACTATAACAATTATAGTGGATGCCCATTGTGGGAGGTAGGGAGATATCCACTTTATGTAGCCTTTTTTATAGAACAAAAGTGACAGACGAGCACATAGTCATCATGATGCTAAATTAATGCTCTGTGATCCATAGACATATACATCTATCCTTGATTAAGAACCAAAATGGAGATGCGTTGTCACCCCTGAGGATTAAGATGACATGCCTGGTAAAATGGTCTCCGGTTCTCTACATTCAACATCCGAAATTCAGTAGCTGTAAGCTGCTATTTTACGCTGGTATTGTGAGAGTGCGGTCCTTTCCGACCCATTGGTGTTACAACCACAATATAGCTGCAGCAGGACTCTAACAAGTATAAAACTTCTTTAGCTACATCTACTTATATATATATATATATATATATATATATATATATATATATATAATATATAAAAATAATATATTGTATAAGTTATACATGTATAATACATATACATATATCAATTTTCTACAAAGCCGATAATAAATATTGAAATTTATTATTGGCTTCCTTCCATTATTTGTTATTATTCACCCGAAAATTCACAAAACATGTAATTTAAAATGAATTTACAATTTTATTCACTTTCAACGTATTGAATAAAATATTTTCAAAAAAATAATTTCATAAAAAAAATTGTTCAAAACGAAATAACTTTACGAAAAATAACTGACTATGAGAGAAAGAAAATGTGCGCGCGCACTGCTCTCCCTTGTTTATATCCCCCACTCAACTCCCGTTCGGCTCGTCCGATCACACTTTTCGTAACGCATTCGTCACGCGTTCGCCAGCTTACTCCCCAAGTCAAGCGTGCGTAAAGAAGTTTTACTTCAATAGACATTATTAACGTTACAGCCTGTCAAAGCGCAATGCTGAACATACACCTCCCCAATAGATCGTTTCATAGTGGGGATACTTGCCTTAGTTACCACGCTTGGCATGCAAGCTGGCAACCGCAGTTTTATTTTTATTTTTAGTCGTTATAAGTGCCGTGTGGTGGCGGTGTTAGAATATCCACTATATATCCCCATATGTAGTATGGTAGCCACGGGTATGACATATGTCCCGTGGGTGTCGTAAGAAGCGACAGAGGGAAACAAATCAGGACATAGGCAGCAGCGTCTTTTAAATAACGACTAATAAATATTACTATACTCGTAAATAATAAAAATATAAATGTAAAATTACGTAAATTGATTCCAATACGTTTTTAACATCACGAGTAGAGAGAGAGGGAGAGAGAGTAACTCCATAATGATTTCTTATATTTACGCGAACACTACACATTGAAATAATACTAGTTTTTACGTAATTTATCGCGTATATTTAACTTTTTTAAATACCCGACGTTTCGAACGCTTTACAGCACTCATGGTCACGGGCGGGACTGAGATGTTCAACGTCCATATGTCATAGTTAACCGCGGTTACCATAGATTAAAATTTAACTTTTGTTCCGATCTATACAGTATGAACTTATGGTATCTCGTCCCTCTGCAAGATGCAGGAGTGTACAAGCTTTCAAGTCTTGCAGTTGTACGTTTGGGTTGGGATTTAATTTTATTTATTATCGGATCCCAAGCAGATGGTAGCACCCAGCCATCTTCTCTATTGAAATTAGGATGTTTTTTGATTTCAATAGCCTCGCGAATCATCCTTGGAAGGAATCGGTGTTCTTTAGCGAGGATTTGCGGTCTATCAAATCTGATGTAGTGACGGGGGCGATCCTGTACGTGTCCACAGACTGCAGACTTCCCGGAGAGTCGATTCTTCACATCAGCTATATGTTCTTTCGGGTAGCTAAACGTCGGGTATTTAAAAAAGTTAAATATACGCGATAAATTCCGTAAAAACTAGTATTATTTCAATGAGAGTAACTCCAGTTCAAGAAAAAAAAGGAATATATTTTTTATAATATATTAAGACTTAAGACACAGTCACGAAGCGAACTATAGAGCTCGAAGTTTCTCTGCGTGATAAAATCCGTAACGAAGATGTCCGCAGCGACAGAATAACAGTAACAGAAGTGGTACTGACTCGAATTTATAGCTGTACGAAGTGGTAAGTGGTGACTGCAAGTGGTATGTGGTGACTGGAATTGGAATGGCTCACAGTCTCGTACCGAAAATTACAGTGTAGGCGAAACAACCAGGACTTTCGACCTGATGAGGTACTCGTATGGTGGCTTGGAAGCGTCCTACTCTGCGGCGACGTATTTAGCAGGCGGTACAGCTCCTTTTCAGTTTAAGGGTAATAAATCCGGGATAATAATAGACTATGAAGCATTTCATCTGTCTTAGAGATAGACATGTAGATAGACCAAATCAACCAAAACAAAAACTTTACAGAATATTTATTTTGATTATTCGCATGTTAAAAATCTAATAAATATATGTAAGTACATCCAATTAAAATAAATATCGAGTTGTTGACTTGTGATTGCATGCAATATGTCAACAACGTGTGTTTACTCCAATTATTCATACACATTCGCAAACATCCACGTTTTAAAAGATGTAATAATATGGCTATGAATAAATATAAATAAGAAACATTATACCTAAAAAAAAACAGAATATTTAATTCTGAATTAAAAAATGGAAGAAAGTTTCATAATATTTGCTTTAAAAAATGGGAACAAGAAAGCAATGGGATTTGACCTAAGTATTTAATTATGTTACGAGTCTTCGATAACGTAAAATATAAAATCATGTTCAATAAACAGAGTTTTAGTTTGTGTTTAAATATAATATTAAAACATACCTTTTTAATGGTGTATCTGAGTTATCAGAAGAGCTTGATGAATTAGATGTCTCACTGCAACTAGAAGTCTGAGAACGATAAACCTGGAAACTATCACTTTTTCCAATGTTACTTTTCATCTTTACACAATTTCTCTTTGCAATACAGTTGAAATTGTTCAGCCGAGACTAAAATCTGAGCTTTAATGTCTCATATAACCACCACTGAGTAACTTTTAATGATAAATTTTGTTCATACCGTAGAATACGTGAGAAGTATTTTGTCACTAGTATCTAAAATTAAACTCTATGTGTTGGCGGCGACGCTTCGGTCAGTTTCGTCCGACGTCTGAAGCCGCCTTCGTAACTTTGAGTCAACTGAACAAGTGATTGACAAATAATCACGTCGGGAAACAATTTGTTTTAATGATGACATAAAAATAAATTGTTCCCAACCACATAACTGATTTACGGACAAAGATCTAATTTTCATCAAATCAGATTTCTTCTCGACGAACAGAAAACACTATGAAGCGACATACGAAGCGAATCTCATCCCAAGTTGGTGACAATAGGCAAATCTTCCAAGTGGGTGCTCGCCTGCATTCTTGGAAGGGCCTGTGTAAAGCAGTAGAATTAAAAAGGCTGTTGGTAACTTTTAATCACAATACTAGAGTAGATTACTACGCTACTCTGCCGAACACTAAATTCCCTTAGAGTTCTTTTTTGAAACTAGGCATAGCATCAATTCTCAAATTAATAGCAGCGCTAAAGCATGTTGCCGGATGTCAAGAGTTTACGTTTAATTGGTGACATCAATCTTATCACCTTTCTGAATTACCAAGCACGTAAGATGTCAGCCTTCGTTGACCTCCTTAACCTCTCAACCCCCTAACGGTCTCATGAGACCGCGGCCATATTCCGTCAAATCCCTAGTGGTCTCATGAGGTCGCGCCCACCAACAGCACTTTAACCCATAAAGACTTACATATAGAGACTACTTTTATAAGAAGAAGTTTGGCATTATACAATCAATATGAAATACTCTATCTTCTAGTGCAATAAAAAAACTATTATCCTATGAATATATTTATAATCTACGTTAATTTCGTACGCAATTTTTGCGTGAATGTCATTGTGTTGATTTTTGGATTTTTCTAGTGTTTTAGTATAGTGTTTTATTACAAAATTGTAATAAAAGTTTTTGTGTGAATATAATTTATCTATTACGTAAATACGAAATTATTTAATATTGTAGTATATATTGAAATTTAATAGTAATATATATTGAAATAACTGTGATTTTTACGCTGCCGACATTCGCTTAGTATGTTTTTTTTTGTTATCAAAATACAATAAAATCTTTTTGTAATGAAGTAAAACCCGACTTTTGTTTAGACCACAGGATAGAGAATTTTGTAAATTTAAAATGCTAAACTTCTTCATAGAAAAGTAGTCTCTAAATATAAGTTTTAATGGTTTTAAGTGCTGTGGGTGGGTGTGGCGCATGCGACTGCATGGGATTTTTATGGCGCTTGAAGGGTTAAAACATATGGCTATAATAGATTATCTATGGCATATAGCATGTTCCTATTATTTATCTTGCGTTCTCTCATGCTTAGACCTACGAAGCTCATATTTTCTCATATTGTTACTTCTTGAAATGATTGTTGTTTTAATATTTTAGTAGATACATCTTTCTTCTCTTAATGCCTGCTATTGAAAATTTATATAATCTCGAGCTTTTTTTATAAAATGTAGATTAAGAGTGACAAACGAGCACACAGTCCACCTGAAGGTAATTGGATGCTGTGACCCACAATCGTCTGCATTTATCTTTAATTAAGAATCAAAATGCAGGTGCGTTGTCACCCCTGAGGACTAAGATGGAGTGCCTGGTTTTCAGTAAAAAGGGTCTCAAAACCGTATGAAAACGAAAGCAATAAGCTGCTATTTTACGCGAGTATTCTTTGAAAACGTGGTTCTACACCAGTCATGCCGACCCATTATGCTACAACTTCTACAACAACTAAGCTACAACTAAGCTACACTTGCAAGTTGAATTACTTTTAGATCTAGTAGAATTTCCTTAATTCATGTTATGTTATTGTAGATATTAGGGGGACGTCCTAGGCGAAAGTTTATCGACCAAATTGGCGATATATTAAAAATAGGCCAAATTAGGAGTACCCTTAACCGACGAGCATGTATATGGATGTGGAGGAGGCGAGTGAGGTGTGTCAGGATCGTGTCAAATGGAAGTCGTGAATGTTTATGTCATTGTGTTAGATATTAGAGGGTGCATCAAAGCAACAGGTAAAGGACAGACAAGAAATAAGTTTTTAAAACATAATATAAGCCCAATTCAAAAACTAAAAGGAGTAAAACAACTTCACATTCAGAAGTCGGTGCTAAGGCGTAGTATATCAGAAGAACCTCTAATTCGCAATTTTAAAAGCAAATTGTACATGTGCTTGGCGATAAAGGAAAACATTGCAAGAAAAGGAACATGTAACATCCGCCACCAAACATTGGGGCCGCATACCAATAACACACTTAAAATAGCTTATTCTAATGTTCTCCAGACCGATTTTCGGACACGACTGCTAATCTCAGCGGACACTAGCCAACTCCATAGGAACATATTGCACGAGTGTACGCATACGCAAGCACAGATACACTCACAGACTATTACGATGCTTACGCTTGGTGCACTCTCGCCTATTCCCTCCATCGCTTGACTCTCATAGTCTAATGAGGCGACATCCAACACGATCGGAGAGAGAGATTAGGCGTAGGACGTACCGACGTAGGACTAAGACAGTAAGAGACTGAGGAAAAACAGTAGCCTTAGTGTTTAAGTTAAATGGCACGACGCCCTAAACTTCACCTGCCAGTACGAGGATGCCGTTCGAGAACCTTTGTCCACCATTACAGATTCACACAAATTAAGTCGCCTTTCTTGAAGAACAAGACCACCGCACTTCTGCTCCAGGCCTCTGGAGTAGTGCCACCATGCAGAACGGAATTGAAGAGCTTCTGAAGCATTTCAAGTACCGGTTGGCACCCGCTTACAGAAGCTCCGTTGTAATTTCTTTCTCGCCCGGGTCCTTGCCGTTTTTAAGGTGCTGGAGAGCCATTCTAATCTCGCTCAGACTATATTATGTCATTATAATATTGCATTTTCATATTAGACGTCCGCCATATTTGATTTAAAATGAGGTCACTTTAGTTATTATTGTTACGCGCTCAAATCGGCGGCACTAGCGCCATCTAGTCTCGAACCGAAGAAATAAACCTCTTGAAGTTTAAAACTCGAAGTCTCGGTACCTTGCGCGTGCTCTGATGGTGATGCTGCAGCAGCTGCGAGGCGGACAGGAGGAACAGGCCCGCCGGCAGGAGGAACAGGCCGGCCGATTGGAAGAGCAGCTGCGGGGCGGACAGGAGGAACAGGCCCGTCGTTTAGAAGAGCAACTCCAACGCGATAAGGAAGAGCAGATGCTCCTCATGAAGGACCTTCACGCTATCTTCGGAAAAGAGATACGGGAGGTGAAGGATAAGGTTGCTCAACATGACAACCACCTGTCGGAGGCCGAAACCCGAATCGACCAAGTAAACAATCGGGTTGACAACGTAATGGCTGAAGTGAAGAAAACGCTGAACGACCTCAAACTTGGGGATGGAACTACAGCTCCCGTAGTAGCTACAGCACCTTCGCTACGTGGATTCAAAGTGCCGCCGTTCGACGGGACTTCTTCCTGGTCGGCCTATAAAATCCAGTTCGAGGCCGTCATGGAGGCAAACCGCTGGAATAAAAGCCAGGCCATGACTGCACTCACCTTAGGCCTGCGCGACCAAGCCTTAACCGTGTTGGAAGCTCTCGGTAAGAAAGTGACCTACGAGCAGCTCCTTGAGGCATTGGAGGCGAGATATGGTGACGCTCACCTGGAACACGTCTTTCGCGCGCAGCTTAAAGATCGCGTGCAACGCAGCAACGAAAACCTGCAGCAGTGGGCCCTTGAGGTGGAGAAGATGGTTCGCAAAGCATACCAGTCTGTACCTGCGCTCATTGAAGGGAACCTGGTGCAGACATTCATCGACGGCATCCGCGACCTGGAAGTCAGAGCTGCTGTGAGGCTCGTGCACCACGAGACGCTTAAGGACGCCTTGGCCCATGCACTGGAGGTGGAAGCCGTGCGGAAGGACCATCGTTCCCATCGCGTCAGGGAGGTTGCAGCAGCTACAGTTCGCGACTGCAACAAAGGATACAGCCCTAGGTGCTATGGCTGTAGGGAAAAGGGCCATCTTCGATCCAGCTGCCCTAAGCGAACCGTGGAAAGGAGAGTTGATCGATCTCGAGAGGGTCGTGCAGCTAACGGCACCGCCTGGCGGTGGCAGGATCGTCGTTCCCCTAGCGCTAGGGGAGGTTGCCGCAGTTACGGTTCGCGACCACAATAAAGGATACAGCCCCAGGTGCTATGGTTGTGGGGAAAGGGGTCATCTTCGGTCCAGCTGCCCCAAACACACCCTAGGAAGGGAAGGCGAACGGTCTCAGAAAGGAAGTGCGGCTAACAGCACCGCCCAGCAGCAGCAGGAATACGACTTTACTATCGAACATCGCAGCGGGAAATCTCATGGCAACGCAGATGCATTATCACGAATACCTTGTCCTGAAGATTGCAAACATTGTACTAGGCAAGAGAGTAAGGAAGTGGTATCCGTGAGGATGCTCAGGGCAGACCACCTCAGCAACGAGTGGAAGGAGAGCTTTCAACGTGCACAGCAGGAAGATCCGGACATCAAGCCGATCCTGGAATGGATGAAGGCCAATGCTCCCAAGCCCAAGTGGAGCGACGTCTCAGCGATGAGTTCGACCACTAAAAGCTATTGGGCCCAGTGGGACAGCTTGCTGCTTCAGGATGGAGTTCTGTGTCGTAAATGGGAAAATGTTCGGGGAGACAGCTGTCATTCACAAATGGTTGTCCCTAAAGCTAAAGTACCGGATGTTCTACAGCTGTACCATAATGATTATTCAGGAGGCCATCTGGGAGTTAAACGAACTCTACTGAAGATCCGAGAACGGTTTTACTGGGTCCACTGTCGAAACGATGTCGAGGACTGGTGTCGCAAATGTACAAGTT